GGTGGCCCACAAAAGGCATGCTACGTTGCAATGGCTTCTTCCTTTTCCAAATTTTGCCTTTGAATTGTCCACGAAAGGAATGCTACGTTGCAATGGCTTTTTCCTACTCTAAACTGTATCTTCGTGTGGCCCACAAAAGGCATGCCACGTTGCAATAGGCTTCTTCCTATTCTAAATTTCACCCTCACAACAGAAATGCTACGATTTAATATAATGGCTCCTTCCTGCTGTAAATTTTAGCCTCGGGTGGCCCACGAAAGGCATGCTACGAAAATAGTCTTTGGACTTCTTGGGTATAAGTCCCTTAGTCGCCGATCCGAACTCGAACTCGAACTCGAACCGGTCCACCCCCCCCGGCTCTATAATTGTTGTCGATCCGAACTCGAACTCGAACTCGAACTTGAACCGGTCCATCCCCCCCGCCTCTATAATTGTTGTCGATCCGAACTCGAACTCGAACTTGAACCGGTCCATCCCCCCCGCCTCTATAATTGTTGTCGATCCGAACTCGAACTCGAACTCGAACTGGTCCACCCGCGGCCGGCTCTAATTGTTGTCGATCCCAACTCGAACTCGAACTCGAACCGGTCCACCCCCCTCGGCTCTATAATAATTGTTGTCGATCCGAACTCGAACTCGAACTCGAACTGGTCCACCCCCTTTATACCCTGGGAGTCCAAGACCATGTTTAAAACAGTCTTTACGTGTTCCGAAAAGGAACTTTCTTTACTGGGCTGGTGCCGAAAATAGTCTTTGGACTTCTAGGGTATAAGTCTCGAGCTCGAACTGGTCCACCCCCGGCCGGCTCTAATTGTTGTCGATCCGAACTCAAACTCGACCTCCAACTCGAACCGGTCCAGCCCCCCGGCTCTTTAATTGTTGTCGATCCGAACTCGAACTCGAACTGGTCCACCCCCGCCGGCTCGATAATTGTTGTCGATCCGAACTTGAACTCGAACTGGAACTGGTCCACCCCTCTCTCGCTCGATCCACGCAATCTCGCGCATCGAACTCGAACCCGAACTCGAACTCGAACTTGAACTCGAACTCGAACGGGATCGGTTAGAACCACCTGGGGCACGGCCTGTGCACTGGACACAAAGAGGAGCAACACACGTGAAGGGGTGAAGAAACAAGCAGACATGGCTACAGATTTGACGACAACAGTGTTTCTTTCAAGAAGTCTCAGGTGACAAAGGTTCAGCGAAGGAACACATATCTTACTTTTTAGATGGCCCCTGCCTTAAGTAATTATTCCAGGGGGGCATGTCACATAGTAGTGGAAAAAAGAAAATTGCAGAATAATTAGACCGTCCTGCAACCTGAAACGACCACTTTTTTTTGGTTGTTTCTTCAAACGACCGTATATTTTTCAAACGACCATAAAAATATGGTCTTTTCTTAAACGACCGTATTTTTGTCAATTATGATGAAGTTCAAATATTACATCATGCACAATGCATATCAAGCAGTTGATTTGTGAAATCGTATACGATCGTATACGACCGTATATTTCTGGAAACGACCGTATATTTTTCGAACCACGACCGTATTTTGTTGAAACGACCGTATATTCTTCGAACCACGACCGTATACAGGCCGTATGCAAACCGTATGCAAACCGTATAAAAACATATAAAAACGTATATATATATATATACGACCAATGTTTTCATGTGTAAAATGACTGCAAGATAAAACGACCGTATTTTTTTGAAACGACCAAAAAAAAATGGTTGTTTTCAAAACGACCAAAAAAAAGTGGTCGTTCCAGGTCCCAGGGTAGAATATTTATTTAAGTAATCCTGAAGGGGGTCTGAGTCTCTTTATGTTGAGACTCAAATGGAATAATTTAATGACAACTAACCTTGGAATAATTTACATGATCGAAGCATGTCGACTAGATGCTGATAGAGAAGTACAGGTTCTTGGAGTGGAGACTGCAGAGACAAAGTGTACCCGCAAAGTGTCTAACACTTAGAGATTGACAAATCAATTTTTGGGGCCTCAGGCAGCTGATGTGGTTGGGGCCACGGGGAGACTAACCGGGTCAAGACATCGTCACCACAGGCACCCTTTCGGCCATGGGGTCTCCAGAAGGAATTCGAACGTTAAGGGAGTAGACACGAGACAGGGAGAGAGGAGAAAACATGTACAAAAAGTAGCTAGTTTATTTTTAATTTGTTGATAGTTTGCTGGTCATATTCGTTCATTCCCTCTGTTTCCTTGATGTTTCCAGAGTTTTGCGAATTTCCCATCCACTAGATTGCATGCGCCACACCCTCTGAATGTTTTATTTAAGATAGTTTTAAGTTTTTGTTGTTGGGATGCCATCCCAAACCCTTCCCTTCCATGTCGAGACGGTCTTGGATGTGTTCTTCGAGCCTGGAAGCATAGTTTATTGACCTGTCTTCACTGTGTTTACACATTTTTACATATCCTTTGAACGGATTCCTATGTCTAGGGTCGGAAGTGCTGAGCCTAATGACAGAAAATATTCCTGCATCAGGTGCACCTCTTGAAAAAAGAAACATGTATGTATGTCCAAGGGTAGTGGAATAATTAGTAATTATTCCTGGGTATGTGGACATAGGGGGGGTCTAAGGTAGGAGTCATCTTTTTAGGACGCCTATCAGTACACCACATCTGGGTGACCTCCCAACAGCCCCACACAGAGGGAACAAAGACTTCTCAGGCTCCCCGGTTTGGGGGGTCTCCCCCAATACACACACACACACACTTAGAGCGTTTTTTCGATGCTGGGATTGGGCGATCGATTTGGACGAATATACACAGGTCGGTCACTGCTGAGCAGGTCACTTCGGCGAGTCGGGTGTCATGTAGTTTCCGTTTGGGGAGACCCGCGAGTCGGGTGCATCGCTTTTTCACTGGCGACGTCCGACGTGTCCGACGTGGCAGTTTTTTCGGTGAAGGAGACGGCCAGTTTAGCAGGTCAGTTTCGGTGGGTGACGGCGAACTGGGCTCCACCTCACTGGTGGAACTAGGAGTTTGCAGGGTCCTTTTTCTGCCAATCGCTGTTCCAGTCGATTAGTCTCAAGAATTTTAGGGTGCAAAGTATGTCCAGCTAATGGTAACGACATGGCATGACTAAAACCCAAAAAACTGCAAGAAGGAACGGCGATGTTTTTTGTCAACCCAGGATCAGTGTTGAGAAGGCTTTTGACATCTTCAGCCTTTTTGATGACGACCAGAATGGCTCGCTGGATTGCATCGAGTTTTTGCGTCATGTCTTCCCTGAAGAGTATGTGAAGAATCAGCAAGAGATGCTCGGGTTTCACCATCAGAGCCTTTATTATATATTTCTTTAAACAATAATTTTCACCTCTACAACCCAGAGTTGTTCACCATCAGCCATTCTTGATCAAAGAGACAAACTCGACCCCCTTTGCGGCCAGCTTTCATGGGTTTGCTATTGTTTACAGTTTACTGCGTTGCGTCTGGGGGTGGGAGGTTCTTTGTAAAACAGGGCTTTGCAGCTTGTTTGTGGGCAATTCTGCTGGCTGCTGGCTCGATTTCTTGTGAGCCTCAAAGGTATTTTTTCACACCACCGGACGGACTTGAATGTGGTGCATGCCGTGTCACCATGTTTTAGGCTAGCTGGTGCTCAGGAGCGAGCTACTTTTTTGGAGCGGGGGAGATCCAGTTCTTCCCCATGAAAGCGACCACGGGAGTTCCCCAACCTCCGACAGCTCGTCGGGTTGAAAACGCCTTGCGTTCGTCGAGGTGGCGAATTCGATGAGAGATCGCCTCAAGAGTGCCGAAGGGTTCCTCGAAACGACATCAGTCGAGGTGCCCAGAGTGTTCTCTTCAAGAGGAACTTTATTGCCTTCAATAAAGCAGCAACGTTGTTAGTAGACCAACCCCAGCAACACTTTCATTTTTCAGACTCTTTCGCGTTCAAGGCAATACTGTTGACATGCGGAAAGTCTTGGCTGTTGACACACACACACACATATTTTTGATTTAATGACATCTCGAGGAAATTGAAGAGCACTTCCAGCCACTGTAGGTGTTTCACGTTCTCCAAACTCGAAAACTGAACTCCTGATTGTGCAAGCACAGTCTTGCAGTCTGACATGTGCCACCGTCAAAACAGTGAGTAGGTAAAGGGCGACTGGCATCCACTTTTTGTAAGAATGGCAGGATAATAACCATCCCCCCTTACAAGGAAGTTTGACCATGGCACACGCGAATTTAATCTGGGATGCGGAACAGCCAGGGTCTCTTAACCCTTCAATTCGAAGGAAATGGACACTTTTGAGTGATTTTGGAAGGAACGTCGACGCATTACGAAAGCTCCGTCGACTCGCTTCTTCGACACCGTCACGCCGTCTCAGGAGCCAGACGCCCATCCGCAAGAGTCGGGCGGTGGCCACGATGGCTCTTCAACAGTTGGAAGCCTTTCAGCAGCAGAGCCCACCATGACGACGAGTTCGCCTGCCGAGTTCGGCTCCCGACGTCGGGAGACGTGACCGGACCGCCTTCAGCGGCGTGACCGGGGAAGGGACGCTCAGAAATGGCTGACAGGCTGACAGTACAGTGGACCAATGAGAAGGGTTTCTGATATTCTCCGAGGGTTGCAGGTTGGTGGTTGGTTTAAGTGTTCGTTATTGGTGTTGGTTGGTTTGTTGCTTCATTGGTTGCCTGGCTTGGCTTGTTGACGACTACGCCACCTTGCTCTGTGGGCTTGGCTTGTTGCTTCTTTTTGACCACCAGCGCCCATGCGCCACCCATGCGCCGCCCATGTGCGCAAAAGGAGGTATTCTCACGCTATGGTTTAATATTTGCAGGTATCGACAAAGGTGACAAATGTATGCATCAATGATGCAGTATTGGGCTCACTTACATTGTCAAGCGCGATCTGGGAGAGTGTCCAGTCACCTTTTGTTTTAACTGGTCCACAACTTGAGGTGGTGCATCAGGGATTTGAAGCAGGCAGTCATACTGCACTTGAGTCATTGTACTTTTGTGGCGATAAAAAACAGAGTCCAAAGCACTTATTGCTTTTGGAAGATCTAGTGTTTTGCACTTCCTGACGACAAGAAACAGGCAGGCATCTTGGGACAAGCGAGTCGGTGACCGCGTGTTTGTCAACGAGCTAGCTAGACTTCTTCCCTAGGTTGGATGAAAAGGGTCATAGGAAGTGCTGTCCTGTGCTAGTTGCAATAATTGCTGGCTTTTATTTCGCTTGCTTGTTTGGTTCTTAGTGGTCAATTTGCTCTTTTTGTCCTTTTGACTTTGGTTGTTGTTGCTGGCGTTGCTGAATTCTGCTGCCGGTTGCTGTGAAGATGGTGGTTGGTCGACGCTCGCGGGGTGGCGTTGAGGTTTGCCCTGTGCACCGCAGTTGTTCACCACTTCCAGGCGGTTGTACCAGCGTCCGGTGCTGCTATAAGCTACTAGGAACAAATGCCACGCTAGTAGTAACAGGTGCCTTACTAGTAGGAACAAGAAGCTACTAGGAATGATTCATATTTTGTTTTTGTTTTCGTCCAACCAAGCACTGACAGTGTTTTTTGTGTGGGGGGTTGCAACAGGGAGCCTTTGCCGAATGACATCAGCCAACATTTCTCGTTCTGTAATCTTGCTCATGTGGACAAATGGATTTGTTGACCCCGGGTATGTTTCCTAGCAAAAACTAGACTTAAATTGTATAAAGGAACCTAAAAGCAGGAGACTCCCGGCATGTCAACACGTAGAATGTGCCAGAACCGCGGCGTATCCTTGTTCAACACAACGGAATTCTTTGTTGCGGGCAGTTGCACCAAGTGCCAACATTTAATGCCCCTTTTGTCCTCGCCGGAAGACGAAACCTCTGTGAACAGATGTCAGCCCCCAATGCAGAAAATTTGTATTGTGTATAGACGAATACAGAAATAGATAGAGCACATTTTGGAAGAAACGCATCAGGGGTTTTGATGACTGACAAGAACAGCTCATGAGTGCTGGAAAACAGGTTTGCTGCCGCAGCCGCATGATTTGCTTTGTGGAGGGATCCTGTCTCACTTTCTTTTTGAAAGACCTCTTTGTGAAATACTTTTTCCCCGAAACACGGACAAACATCGTTCTGCTGGGGTTCACCACATAGGGTCCGTCTTGACCGCAGCTCCCAGCTGGTTTGGAGGGTAGGACATCTCTGGCTCATGTTTTTGTTTTTTTGGTTGAGCCGAAAAAGAGATAGGCCGCCTCAAGCGGCTCTTGGACAAGGATACTCACTTTTTGGTTGCTCTAGATCGCAAGTGATTTGTTCTTCTTTTCTTGAGTGCTCTTTTTTGACGTGGACATGGCTGCCAGTGACCTGCAAACACCAACGATTAGGCACCTTTTTTTGCCCTGCAAACACCTTCGGCTGACTGTGAACACCTGAAGGCGAGATTGGTTTCCCTGACCGCCTCGGTCCAGTTGACCATACCTCCGCATGTGTTACTTCCAAGTATGACCTTTTGAACAGGGCTATTGAAATGGGCAGATGTACCGTTTGCTCTGAAGAAAGTGAAGCCGCCTGTACGGCCTGCTCGAGTGAGATGTGTTTGTCGGTTCAACAGTGGTGTTCTGGGGCGGCAGCAACCCGCTTGCGCGAGCTGCAAGGCCCATTGGCATGAGGGGTGAGGGAGGATCTTTGCGCAAAAGATTGCAGAACATGTCAAAATTAACAGCTTGCTTGTTGAAGCTGGCATCCTTGTCTGGGAGTTGGTCATGCATGTGTGCAAATCAAATCTCGAAATGGATCAGGGCTCACTGTAATTGGCCACATCCTTCACGATTTCAAGTGCCTTTCCCATTCTCTCATCCGTTTGGGACAGCCAGTCAGCATGAAACCACCCGGTTTTCAGGTGCCTGTACGTGTGATCACCGCCCTGTTCTAGACATTCCAAAGGGAACCCAAGCGCCCCTGGCCGGTGTGAACCCTCGAGGGAACATGCTATGGTTTCGGGGTACCGGGTACAGAGGGGCACCGTGAGAGGTGGGTGTTTCAGAACATGTGCTTCAGCCTTCGACCTTTATCCGGTCGTTGTCGTTTTTGGCTTCGGCCAAGGATGAATGGCTTAAGCTTTGCCGAGTTCGAAAACTCCAGCTTCGATGACTTGTACAGTTTCCTGGCCATATAAGACTTGGGGGCCGCTGGGGCACGATCACGGTCCTCCGGACTCTGTTCCGACTGGTTGCTTTGGAGAAAGAAAGCAAAAGGGGCGGCCTGGGACGTTTAGAGAGTTGAGTGAGCGAAAAAGGACACGACGCCAGGACGGTTTTGGTTCGGATCTTCCGGTGACCACTTGCCAGATCTTGGACTGGGGGGCACTGGGGGCCCTGTGTGTTGAGTGAACTCGGAGGGAGCTTCCCTTTCTCCATGTGTTGGCTGGTTCTCTGCGGAGCTCGCGGAGCATCGGTAGGGGTGGATTCTAAGGACATCCCGCCAAGTGATGGAAAACCTGAGAACCAACCCGGAGGTCACCAATATGATTGATTTGAGATTCGATACTTGGGAACACTTGGATAAATCATATGGATCACAGGCAAACATCCTAAACAACCAAAAAAGATTTGGTGTTTTCCCAAACAACCGGCTGTCATGTCAACATGTTTAGTCTTCTCTTCCGTTTTCGCCAACGGGACTTTTTCTCCACGTTGACCAGTGTGGGCCCCGGCCGAGGCAAAGGCTTCGCCAATGCGAAGCACTTGGAACAGGTTGCTTTCAGCGTCGCGAAAACTCGGGGCGTCCCCGCTTTCAACGGTGGTTCACCCGAATGCGGAGGAGCAGAGGAGCGGATTGGGGGGCACGGGGTGCTTTTTCGGTTGCATTCTGATTCTCTGTTGAAGACAGCTTTTTGCGGCTCATGAACGAAATTCTTCTATGGCTTCCAGGAAGCTTTAAGCTTTGCGGGGTTTCGCGAGAAGCGCCTCCAGACGGGCAGGAGAAGCACCTGGAGACATTTTCACTTTCCATGCTTTTTGTTTACTCTAAGACTCACACCTTCAGCTTAAGATGGTAGCTGCCCAAAGACCTCAAGATGGAGAAAACCACACGGTTGCGGCGCAATACAAAAAAAGAACACCTGATTGGCCTGATTGGTATGGACATGTGTTCTTACCGCGTTTTGATTTAAGTGGATTGCCATACCAAAAACATCCCACGATGTGCTTGGATGCCTTAGGCAATGCCTTGCTTGGCCAAAAAGGGAAGGTGACCCGCTTCCATGGTGGCCTGCAAGAGACGACCCAAAGCGGGACTGAGCGCTTTCAGGTGTCCAAAGAGTTGCAGCACCTGAAGCCAGGCGAGTGTGATTGATGAGGGTTGTTTGTGCATCTGTGGAGGACTTGAACCAATTGGAACCCTAAACTGTGACAAGAACATTTGCCGACTTGAAGTGCCTACAGGAGGAACCTGTTCCTCTAGGTTCCCCAGTCAGGTGAGTAGGATTCGTGTTTGGTCTCCAAACATGGCGTTGTTCTGGCTTTTCCGTTTTGAAGATAGTCACATAGTCTCTTGCTTTCAATTCACAGCGCTGTGAGTTCGAAATTCGACGTTGGGCAGAAAGGTTCCTCTTGTTCGGTGAATCTGATGGCTATGTTGCACTTCAGGTCTGATCTTTCGAAACAGATTGCTCACCAAGCTACTTGTTGGCGAAAGACATTTTGCATCACCTGACACTGAGACAATGGGAACCGGATGGTCTTTATGGTCTTTGTGGCATCAACAGTAGGTGTAGGATTTCTGACGCATCAACAGCATGGACCGGGTTTGGAACGAGTGAATTTGACTTCTTGCCAATTTTAATGTGAACCACAGGCAAATCTTGGCGGTCTTAGTCTAAGCGTTCAGTATTTCATGATACAAAGGGTCCCGGATGGTCGCCCATAATTCTCGGGAAATTCATTGAACATATCGCTCATGTTTAGGCTACGACGGGCTCGAAACACGACGGCCGCAACCTGTGTCGCGTTAAACAATCTAAGAGTGGTGTGAACTGTGGATGGAACAAGAAGCAAACCGAAGAACCCGAACTTGCTGCAGCTCCGGCTCCCGCTCCAGTTTCCCAGGTGCTCCCGCAGCGCTGAGCTTCGGACGCACGGCGCAAGCCGTTGACGCGGCGCCGCCCGGGCACCCCAGATGGACTGGTTTCCACGGGCAAGCGGTTGATTCAGGGGTGAGGTCGAGGCTTTGGATTGGTCGAGGAGGAGTGCCTTCAGGTGATGCTGGGGAGTTTTGAGAAGGGAAAGAACGGAGCGGGCCAAGAACGGCTCGGTTTAGCAACGAGCTTGCCTGGTTTGGGTCCAAGGGGTGATGATGGGTGATGGGTGATGGTTTGTCTAAGGTTCCTGCGTCCCGTAGATTGTGCAGGGGTGTCTAAATGTGTCAAGTTCTCGCGCCGTGAGTGAAATGGTTGTAGCTTTAGCAGCTTGTGCAGGGAGGCTGGACGCATGGGGTAGGCAGACTACGTAGGCGAAGACGTTACTTGGGGGTTACTCCGCCTTTGAGTCTTTCGAAATGGCCATAGCTTTCCAACACTACCCAGTTCTTGAGTGAGAAGCGATGAGACTGGACAGCAGAAAAGTCGACTGCTCCGATTGAATCCGTGAGGCAAAAGGTCCACGATTGTCGAAATCCGAAATCCTTACCGACATCATCTGGGCTTGACGATTTCTTTCTACCAGTTGTAGACTGGTCTGGTGATTTTAACAATGAAGACTTCAAACAGTTTTCCCGACCAAACCGCTGCCATTTGGTCCTTCTTGCCCGAGCGCGTGCTCGCTTGCTGCTGTCCCACAAGGCTTCATGCCCGCGCAGACACAGCGCAGGCGCGTACCCTACGCGGTGGTGGGGGGCTGTTGAGCTTGGCTGGTAGGACCATTCGACCTGTTTCATGACACCGTCGGACCGTGTTCTTCTCCACACTTTGGGACGGACCTTTTTGCCCGGCGCATGGACGCCGAAGCGACGCCTTGGGAGTGGTGGTCGCAGATCTCGATGGATTCCAAGGGTCACTTCAAAAGAGGCAAGCCAGGTCGGGGCTTGTCCCAGAAATCCGCTGCTGCTCGTTGATTTAGGTTCGCCGGCTGCCAACGCCTGCTGCGGCTTGGGGTGCTCAGGAAGTGTCAGTATTGTGACGTTAACACAAGCCATAGGTATATCGCAAGACCTCCTATCGGTGGAAGGTCAAAAACAAAACCTGTTGTTCACATCCCCTGTTTCAGAGGATGCCCGGTGCCGTGCCCGCAGCCAGATCCAGAATTATAGTGTTCCCACCACATCGCAAACACAGAGGAATCATCGAGCTCTCATCGAGCTCTCAAAGACCTTGTTGATTCGCTAGAAACGAACTGTTCCATGTCCTCCACAAAGCTCTTATATTGCCGGTTGCGGTTTTCTTTGCGTTGCGAAGAATGCGAAGAATTGGCTCTATGGTTCCGCACAGATGATTTTTGTGCTGTCACAAGTGGTGTCAACCACCGCGCAAACGATCGGGACGAGGGACGAGTCCTGAGTCTGTCTCGATTTTCTGATGAGAAGATGGTCGTGAGATGACGAAAAGATCATGGCACGAGTGCTGCGGGAAGAAGCCAACAAGAAAGTCTTGTTTGAAAGAGAGTTGGTTCAGGAGTTTGAGTGGAGAAGGTCTCAAGGTCCTACTGCGAAGGGACATGGTATACTCATCCTGGTTCTGTGGAACTCTAGGACTCTAGGTCCTAGGTTTCTCTCGTTGTTTGCTGGTTGTCGCCGGCTTATGTTTCTTGGAACGTCCCTTCCATGTCAGTGGTCAACACCCCCATGGAGATGTTGGACCACTCGGCTTGATGAATCAACCGTTTGTCTCATGACATACGCGTTTGTCTCAGCCGTGAGGGACCTTCGGTGTTGCTTGTGGTGGATTATTGAGTCCCTCACCAGAGCCATCGAGAGCAGACATTTCTGCTGAAGACGGTTGTGCCCCTCCCAGATTCTTGTCTTGCAAATTCCTATTTCTCGAAGGAAAGGTATTCTCGCCAATCAAAGACGTATTCCGATTCTGATGGCATCTTCTTTGTGAGCTGAGCTTCCCATCCTGCCCAGAACTCATCATCCACACTAATGTGGTCACATCGATTTTCCGCAAAGATGTCACCCAAAGTGTGATAATTGAACAGCTTGCTTCTTCGATAATCGAACAGCTTGCTTCTTGGATGATCGAACAGCTGCCAAGTTACCTAAAATGTGCATCCTCAAAATGTATACTGTATAGGTCTTTACATTTTTGAGATTTGAGAGCGTTTCAGTTCCACCTAGGTTGGAGGCCATCGCTAGTAGGTTGGACGCCATCCCTAGTGGGCGGGAGGCCATCGCTTAGTAGGTTGAAGGCCGAAGGCCATCGCTAGTAACTAGTAGAATGGAGGCCACTTCTGAGTAGTAGGTTGGAGGCCATCGCTAGTAGATTGGAGGCTATCAGGCCATCGCTAGGTAGGTTGGAGGCCAACGCTTA